CAGGTGTTAGACGTAAAGTGCTTCAATCATTTGCTTTTGAGGGCTGTGAAATTGTGTCACATTTCATAGCTACTTTCTCTCCTACACCCACCCATTGATACAATTGCTTTTTGTACAGAGGCAAACTTTTCTTTGTGCAATAACATGGCCCTGGAAAAGGATGAGTACTAAGTTTGGTGGGACAGAAGCATAACCTTGGGCGGGGATGATAGTAATTGCTGTAGCAACAGCAGCTTGAGTCTTAATGCTCATTTATCCATCCACCCATCTCTGCATACATGAGAGTATGGACATGGGCACGCTACAGGCCAGATGATATAAAAAGTGATTGCTTAGATGAGAAGGCGGAGGAGAGGGGGAATGAGGAATGTGGAGGAGGGTGGCGGCGGTCTAGTGTTTAGCGCACTAATGGTGCAGGCTCTCGGCTTATACACATGCGTAGTGCAGGAAAAGGCTGATAGCAGCAGCATTGGCAGAGGGACAATTCAAAGCATTTGTCTTTGGAAAGGTAAACGCAGAATTCGCTCAAATTGAGGCTCTTATGTGTTGGCAAATTTAATTACCTGTCAAGGCCAATCATCGGAGCGGTGAGGGTATGGTTTGCATTTATGCTGCGAAGGTGACCTGAACTTTTACCACGCATAGTCAAATGAGTTATTTAAAGTAAGAATTGGCACTACTATTGTTGAGACGGAACAGATAGAGTACAAACTGACATCTCTATTTGTCTTTATGGTCAGTTTCTTGGAGGATCTGGATCGCTTAGGCGCCAAGGACTATCAGCCCTCCGAACAGGACATCCTTCGTACACGCGTCAAAACCACTGGCATCGTCGAGGTGCACTTCCAATTTAAGAATATGAACTTCAAGTGAGTAATCCGGGTTTTGCATTTATCAAAGCTAAAGCTCAAAGTATGGGCCCATCAGCACGAAGGAAATCCACGTTAACTCACGTTTTTTCGTGGTTTATTCAATTCACTAGCACATTTGGTTGAAACTACGCGTTCGTTTAAGATGGGGCGTGCAAATGCGGACTGTGGTTTGACAAAACATCTAAATGGTCAGTCGGGTGGATGAAATCAAGGCGAGGTGAATAGATTGCAATGCTGAAGGTGGGTGTAACAGAAGGAAAGTGGGTGGGCAGTCGGAGGGCTATTTTTTTTTCCACGTAAGTGGGCGTACGCCAAAGGTAGATCGCCCCTGTCATCATCATTTTCTCCCATAGCCCAGAAGCAACGGTTAAAATCGGAACTGCTGCGTCAGTTTGTCACGCATTTCTATTCGCTACTTTTAGTAACATTTTAACTTTCAAGATGAATGACATGTATTTCGGTCTCTTGACTTACCATTGCGAGTGAACTTGTGGGGATTGTGAGAGTTTCGTCCTCGGAGCAGTCCTTTATCTTGACAAAAAGGATTTCCGGCTTTAGCGTCACGTTCTTTCACCTTTTTTTTCTTGAAAAACTTCTTGCTCAGTCACATAAGATTTGGATAACATTACGTCAATGGGTGATTTACAACGGATGGTTCCATTATTTGAAGTTCTGCCGTGACATGTCAATCGGAGACACTGGAATTGTCTCTGAACTAAATCTGCTAAATCTGCTCCAATTATGCCCGAGGAGATGGCCATGCTTTCATCGTGGAGATCAACTTGTGAGATTAAAATGATTTCTGTTTTGTCCTCCTAGACTCTTTGATGTGGGCGGTCAGCGCTCGGAGCGGAAGAAGTGGATCCACTGTTTCGAAGATGTGACAGCAATCATTTTCTGTGTGGCCATGAGTGAGTACGACCAGGTGTTGCACGAAGACGAGACCACCAACCGAATGCAGGAGTCGTTGAAGCTGTTTGACTCGATATGCAACAACAAGTGGTTCACCGACACCAGCATAATCCTCTTCCTCAACAAGAAGGATTTATTTGCAGAGAAGATTAAACGTTCACCTCTCACTGTCTGTTTCCCCGAGTATCCTGGTAAGTTGTCGGCTGCTCTTCTCTCCTACACTCCCTTTTCTGTTAACACTGAGGCTTTGGCTTATCGCCACCCTCTTTTACATATGCGCTTTATCACCTTGAATGTTGGTGGCTTGAATAGCACACTTACGTTATGCATACCAGTTTATTACTGATCAGAGTACTTTCCTGTGGAAGTAAAAGCTCTTGACTGAATTGAGTGGAGTAAATCACCGTCCTCCAAGGTGCTAGAAGCTTTAATTGTTAGGTATGCTTTCAGGTCAATCGTAGAGCCAGTTTAATAGTGCTGATCCTGAATGCATTGTGTTGTGAAATTTTAGGGAAGCAGACCTACGAGGAGGCAGCAATTTACATTCAGGCCTCTTTTGAGGCAAAGAACCGATCGCAGAACAAGGAGATTTACTGCCACCAAACCTGCGCCACCGATACTAATAACATTCAATTTGTCTTTGATGCTGTCACCGATGTGATCATCGCCAACAACTTGAGGGGCTGTGGTCTCTACTAGTCTCCTCCCTTTCCCCCCACCTGCTCTTGCACCTCCTTCTCTTTTTGTCTGTGTGATTGTGTATAGAGAC